ATTTAAACCAAATTTCATGGTGTTAAGCACATGCAAGTGTATGTTCCATGATGCAAACTATGGACAAAAAACCTTTGTCTTAAGTCATAGTCTAACGTTACGTAGTTCCAACAATTCAACACCTTAATCTTCAACATGAACACAATTCACAACCAGTTGTATAGCAACAACACCCTCTAAGTTCATGCAATTTCTTCCACCTACGCTTTCTCTTCTGAAAGATCAAAATTAACCCCCTCTGTAAACAACTGGGGAAGTGGACGTAATTCACTTTTCAAGAGTTTAACAAAAGTTTACCAAGACATGATTCATCCCGTTATTGATTTGCATGAAGAACGTAGAAGTAAAATATCATCTAGTATAAAAATTTGTCTAGAAATAATAAAAAAAAAACAGAGATAAAAACGTTATAATTTTGTTGGGTACAAACAAAGTCCCACATCAGATAAAATATGAAATACACATGAGTTTATATACAACATAAGATACATTCCTTAATAATAGATTTTTGGAGTGGTACCAAAAACAAATATGTGGTATAAAAATTAAGAGAATCCTTTAGCAAATATTTAAGATATAAAAAATCTTGAAAATTAAAAAAATAAAAACAAATTATTTATAATTAAAAAATTATAAATATTTTTAATTATCTAAATTATTGTATACTTATGTTTCAGTCATTAACTTTACACCCCCTTTAATTTCAATTTTCGTGGAACATTATGAGAATTGCAATTACTCTTTCTTAAATTATTCTTTTATAAAATCAAGCTTTAGTCCTCTGTCACCTACAGAAGGAAAAGTTGAAAAGGATCATGTATTAGTCATTGTTAAGATAAAAAGCTGTATCACTAATTTGTATATAGTGTGTGCCTGAGAAAAGAAAGATGTTCAGTGTTTTCACGTAGTGGATAGGACCACAATTGGATCCAATGGACTCCTGGTATAGCCCACAGACCTAGTAATGGACAATGTGTCTTGGACTAAACTCTGTAATCATCAGCCCATACCACAATCACTATCATCAAAGCATAATGCTCATGCCTGCCGAAAAGGAAAAATACCTCTTTTTTGAAAAATATATTTCACCAAAACTAACGTGGAACTCAAACTCGGTGTTCTGAATAATAATAAGTATTAAAATTGGAATGATTGAAGATTTTAGAGATAAGTAATTGATGAGATTGAATCGGAGGAAGAAGAGTTTGACGTAACTGATTGGAATTCCCATGGACGCCCTAAAAGATGAACCCTAAAAAAATGGGTATGGAAAAATGATGTGAGGGAAGCAGAGAGCGGCAAGTGCAAATGAACAGTACTGAATTTATTAATTTAATTTGTTATTTTGTTTAAAAGAAGAAAGGTAAAGCAGGAGAAAGTGACAAAATCCCAGTAAAGCGTGACAGTGCCAGCTCCATTTGGCCTCTCAACCCAAAGTCTTGTGCTTTTCACATACCCATTTCCCCATTCGCCCCACTCCTCCTTTCTGCTTCCCCTTTCACCAAATGGGTCATCTCCATCTTCCATAACATAACAACAAACCCACGTTTTCTCCTTTTCTCTCTCTTCTTCCTTTCGTGGGGTTTAACGTTTCACTCTACAACAACAGCAACAAGGAGAAGAAGAACAGGATTAGGATGTTTTCTAGGTTGATACATCCCCATGAAGGGGGTGTTGGGCAGGAAGACATGCAGGGTGCTTCCAATCACGCTCACCTCGGAGACCCTTGTCTTGTTCTCACCTCTGATCCCAAACCTCGTCTTCGGTGGACCGCTGACCTTCACGAACGCTTTGTTGACGCTGTCACTCAACTTGGGGGTGCCAGTAGTGAGTAATTTTTTCCCTTTCATATTTCATTCATGCTAATATGTCTGCTACTGTGTTTTTTTGGCGTGCTGTGGTGAAATTTGTTATTAATTTGTGTACTGTTGGCCTGGTACTGTTAGGAAATTGTTTATAGATGTTGGGATTCGTGCAGAGCTTTTATTTGTTGTTCATGGAGGCCAGTGTTAGGTAGCAGGGAAAGGAGGGGCCTTTCTTATCTGAGTTGTAGTGGTATATGTTGGAATTGCAGGTTTGGTTGCATTATATATGGGCTTATTCTCCTAATTATTAGTGTAGCATATTGTTGTGGCGTGAAAGAAAACTTTGCTGGAATTAGTGATTGTGTGTCTTGTACTGTGGCTTAATTATGCACTAGATATTGCTATCCCTCGAAAAAAAATGAAAAAATAAACAAAAATAATGTAACTGCCCAACATTAACCATCAGAGCAAACCTTAATATTTTGCTTATTTCCTAACAAGTTGAATATTGAATAATGTGATAAACTAGACAATATAATGTGTGTTTGGAAGCAGATATCACGTCAAAGGACCAAAGCAACAACTGGTAGGATCTATTGAGATGTGGCAAACCACATCAAATAGGCCTCGTAATGTGTTACCAAACACGCTAGTTGCATATAGAAGGACCTAAAATGATTACAATGTGGAATACTAGGTTTTAGTCACTAGAGTATAAAGCTTATTATAAGGCTCTTTTTGGTTGTGTCTTCAATTTCATTGCAGCCTGTTGATTTTCGTCACTGTAGTAGTTTGTTGCCTTCTATTTCTGTATGTTTTTCAGTAGGCATCCTTCCCACAAACTCATGCTGCGTGTTTTTTGTAATGCAATACAATTCTCAATAAAAATGGACTTTATCTAGGACCCAAAAATCATTAGCTAGCTTTTACTAGCACAATGCCACTATCCAGGAATGAGGGGAGGACAAAGCCTTCAGTAATTGATACATTAACCTAGGTTCTGATGTTGAAGATATGTTCTTCAAGTCAAGTGCACATTACTTTAGATTTTTTCTAAATATCATGGAGATTTAATCGTCTTCTTGTTTTTCTTGATTCATATTTACTTTTTTCTCAATCTGTAGTGGGGTTATTTATGACTTGTGAATATATTCTAGGAAATTCTGCTATATACATGAGTGATATCATCACTGCTATATTATTAAAATTATTATTTACAGAAGCCACTCCTAAAGCGATCATGAGAACCATGAATGTCAAGGGTTTGACGCTCTATCATTTAAAAAGTCATCTTCAGGTTCGTTTTGCTACAGTTGATTGCATAATAATTGGTGAAATTGAAACTTTATGATAATGTTCTGTTTTATACTATTGTTCATTGCATTGCAGAAGTACAGGCTTGGTAAGCAATCAGGAAAAGATTCTGATGAGGGTTGCAAAGATGGTAGGTTTATCTATCTTTATTTTTGAAAGTATGCCACATTTTTTTTTTCACTTTGATGTATCAATGTCTGTTTCAATGGATGGGTCACATTTTATCTTTGTTGCCCTGATCAAATAAAGGTTGATTCTGGAATTTACGTCTGTATAAAACAGGGTCAAAATCGTACACCAACAATAATGTTTATATTATAAGCTTTTGTATTGGTCTAAACTTGGTCTCATTTATTGAAAAACCCATGCAAGGGATGTCAGGTTCGTATCTTCAAGAAAGCCCCGGTACTGACAACTCATCTCCAAAGTTACCAACTTCGGATGCAAACGAGTAAGAATTCCATGGTATCTTGAAAAACAATTTATTCGTGTCCAGATGTATGAATGGTTGTTGATAAACAAATTGAGAGTTGAAATGTCACGTGTAGGGGTCATGAAGTGAAGGAGGCATTAAGAGCACAAATGGAAGTGCAAAGTAAACTACACTTACTAGTGGAGGTAAATTTCCTTCTCACAATGTAAGGTGCTTTATAGTTTTGGCACATTATTTGAGACTATATTGATTGGTGTTGGAGTTAGACTCGGTGCATGGTTCCAGGATGATGAGTTGATTGCTTGCTTTTATATTCATCTCCCTTATTTATGTGGACAGATATGAACTAAATAAATAATAACTGAAAATGTTTAATTCAGTGTTGTATTAAAAAAATAGTTGGTATATCTTATAAATGTACCCTAACACTTACTATTTTTAAGAACTATGGTATTGCAGGCTGAGAAGCACTTGCAAATTCGCCAGGATGCAGAGCGGAGGTACATGGGCATGCTCGAGCGAGCATGTAAGATGTTAGCCGATCAATTTATTGGGGACATAATTATGGACACAGATGGCCAAAAATTTCAAGGGCTGGAAAGTAAAACACCCAGAAGTTCCCTAGTTGATCACGTTGGGTTTTTCCCCCCAGTATGTTCTGAGGTAGGTGGAATGCATGTTTCAGAAGTACCACCTATTCTCCAGCCTCAAGGGGCTGACTGTTCCACTGAAAGTTGTCTGACATCACTTGAGAGTTTAGGAGGGTTGACGCTCGAAGNAAGAGAATCCTTTAGCAAATATTTAAGATATAAAAAATCTTGAAAATTAAAAAAATAAAAACAAATTATTTATAATTAAAAAATTATAAATATTTTTAATTATCTAAATTATTGTATACTTATGTTTCAGTCATTAACTTTACACCCCCTTTAATTTCAATTTTCGTGGAACATTATGAGAATTGCAATTACTCTTTCTTAAATTATTCTTTTATAAAATCAAGCTTTAGTCCTCTGTCACCTACAGAAGGAAAAGTTGAAAAGGATCATGTATTAGTCATTGTTAAGATAAAAAGCTGTATCACTAATTTGTATATAGTGTGTGCCTGAGAAAAGAAAGATGTTCAGTGTTTTCACGTAGTGGATAGGACCACAATTGGATCCAATGGACTCCTGGTATAGCCCACAGACCTAGTAATGGACAATGTGTCTTGGACTAAACTCTGTAATCATCAGCCCATACCACAATCACTATCATCAAAGCATAATGCTCATGCCTGCCGAAAAGGAAAAATACCTCTTTTTTGAAAAATATATTTCACCAAAACTAACGTGGAACTCAAACTCGGTGTTCTGAATAATAATAAGTATTAAAATTGGAATGATTGAAGATTTTAGAGATAAGTAATTGATGAGATTGAATCGGAGGAAGAAGAGTTTGACGTAACTGATTGGAATTCCCATGGACGCCCTAAAAGATGAACCCTAAAAAAATGGGTATGGAAAAATGATGGGAGGGAAGCAGAGAGCGGCAAGTGCAAATGAACAGTACTGAATTTATTAATTTAATTTGTTATTTTGTTTAAAAGAAGAAAGGTAAAGCAGGAGAAAGTGACAAAATCCCAGTAAAGCGTGACAGTGCCAGCTCCATTTGGCCTCTCAACCCAAAGTCTTGTGCTTTTCACATACCCATTTCCCCATTCGCCCCACTCCTCCTTTCTGCTTCCCCTTTCACCAAATGGGTCATCTCCATCTTCCATAACATAACAACAAACCCACGTTTTCTCCTTTTCTCTCTCTTCTTCCTTTCGTGGGGTTTAACGTTTCACTCTACAACAACAGCAACAAGGAGAAGAAGAACAGGATTAGGATGTTTTCTAGGTTGATACATCCCCATGAAGGGGGTGTTGGGCAGGAAGACATGCAGGGTGCTTCCAATCACGCTCACCTCGGAGACCCTTGTCTTGTTCTCACCTCTGATCCCAAACCTCGTCTTCGGTGGACCGCTGACCTTCACGAACGCTTTGTTGACGCTGTCACTCAACTTGGGGGTGCCAGTAGTGAGTAATTTTTTCCCTTTCATATTTCATTCATGCTAATATGTCTGCTACTGTGTTTTTTTGGCGTGCTGTGGTGAAATTTGTTATTAATTTGTGTACTGTTGGCCTGGTACTGTTAGGAAATTGTTTATAGATGTTGGGATTCGTGCAGAGCTTTTATTTGTTGTTCATGGAGGCCAGTGTTAGGTAGCAGGGAAAGGAGGGGCCTTTCTTATCTGAGTTGTAGTGGTATATGTTGGAATTGCAGGTTTGGTTGCATTATATATGGGCTTATTCTCCTAATTATTAGTGTAGCATATTGTTGTGGCGTGAAAGAAAACTTTGCTGGAATTAGTGATTGTGTGTCTTGTACTGTGGCTTAATTATGCACTAGATATTGCTATCCCTCGAAAAAAAATGAAAAAATAAACAAAAATAATGTAACTGCCCAACATTAACCATCAGAGCAAACCTTAATATTTTGCTTATTTCCTAACAAGTTGAATATTGAATAATGTGATAAACTAGACAATATAATGTGTGTTTGGAAGCAGATATCACGTCAAAGGACCAAAGCAACAACTGGTAGGATCTATTGAGATGTGGCAAACCACATCAAATAGGCCTCGTAATGTGTTACCAAACACGCTAGTTGCATATAGAAGGACCTAAAATGATTACAATGTGGAATACTAGGTTTTAGTCACTAGAGTATAAAGCTTATTATAAGGCTCTTTTTGGTTGTGTCTTCAATTTCATTGCAGCCTGTTGATTTTCGTCACTGTAGTAGTTTGTTGCCTTCTATTTCTGTATGTTTTTCAGTAGGCATCCTTCCCACAAACTCATGCTGCGTGTTTTTTGTAATGCAATACAATTCTCAATAAAAATGGACTTTATCTAGGACCCAAAAATCATTAGCTAGCTTTTACTAGCACAATGCCACTATCCAGGAATGAGGGGAGGACAAAGCCTTCAGTAATTGATACATTAACCTAGGTTCTGATGTTGAAGATATGTTCTTCAAGTCAAGTGCACATTACTTTAGATTTTTTCTAAATATCATGGAGATTTAATCGTCTTCTTGTTTTTCTTGATTCATATTTACTTTTTTCTCAATCTGTAGTGGGGTTATTTATGACTTGTGAATATATTCTAGGAAATTCTGCTATATACATGAGTGATATCATCACTGCTATATTATTAAAATTATTATTTACAGAAGCCACTCCTAAAGCGATCATGAGAACCATGAATGTCAAGGGTTTGACGCTCTATCATTTAAAAAGTCATCTTCAGGTTCGTTTTGCTACAGTTGATTGCATAATAATTGGTGAAATTGAAACTTTATGATAATGTTCTGTTTTATACTATTGTTCATTGCATTGCAGAAGTACAGGCTTGGTAAGCAATCAGGAAAAGATTCTGATGAGGGTTGCAAAGATGGTAGGTTTATCTATCTTTATTTTTGAAAGTATGCCACATTTTTTTTTTCACTTTGATGTATCAATGTCTGTTTCAATGGATGGGTCACATTTTATCTTTGTTGCCCTGATCAAATAAAGGTTGATTCTGGAATTTACGTCTGTATAAAACAGGGTCAAAATCGTACACCAACAATAATGTTTATATTATAAGCTTTTGTATTGGTCTAAACTTGGTCTCATTTATTGAAAAACCCATGCAAGGGATGTCAGGTTCGTATCTTCAAGAAAGCCCCGGTACTGACAACTCATCTCCAAAGTTACCAACTTCGGATGCAAACGAGTAAGAATTCCATGGTATCTTGAAAAACAATTTATTCGTGTCCAGATGTATGAATGGTTGTTGATAAACAAATTGAGAGTTGAAATGTCACGTGTAGGGGTCATGAAGTGAAGGAGGCATTAAGAGCACAAATGGAAGTGCAAAGTAAACTACACTTACTAGTGGAGGTAAATTTCCTTCTCACAATGTAAGGTGCTTTATAGTTTTGGCACATTATTTGAGACTATATTGATTGGTGTTGGAGTTAGACTCGGTGCATGGTTCCAGGATGATGAGTTGATTGCTTGCTTTTATATTCATCTCCCTTATTTATGTGGACAGATATGAACTAAATAAATAATAACTGAAAATGTTTAATTCAGTGTTGTATTAAAAAAATAGTTGGTATATCTTATAAATGTACCCTAACACTTACTATTTTTAAGAACTATGGTATTGCAGGCTGAGAAGCACTTGCAAATTCGCCAGGATGCAGAGCGGAGGTACATGGGCATGCTCGAGCGAGCATGTAAGATGTTAGCCGATCAATTTATTGGGGACATAATTATGGACACAGATGGCCAAAAATTTCAAGGGCTGGAAAGTAAAACACCCAGAAGTTCCCTAGTTGATCACGTTGGGTTTTTCCCCCCAGTATGTTCTGAGGTAGGTGGAATGCATGTTTCAGAAGTACCACCTATTCTCCAGCCTCAAGGGGCTGACTGTTCCACTGAAAGTTGTCTGACATCACTTGAGAGTTTAGGAGGGTTGACGCTCGAAGGATCTCCCGGCGGATCGAAGAAGAGGATGCTGAGCTTGGATTCAATGGTAGCACCTTTGATCTGGAGTGAAGCCAACACCAGAACTCAAGGAATCCATTTAGCTCAAGTCAATCCTCCAGGAATAACTAGGTATGGTATGTAGAGTAGGGTTGGGAAGGTTAGTTCCTCATGAAGAGAGTTGAGGAAGTGCTTTGTTCCAAGCTTTTAGGATTAAGTAATGAATTAGATTCTTATCTGTTCTTGTCCATCAAGTTGGTGATAATCAACTTGCTCACATGTCATTGTGTAAATGGAAAATACCATGTGCCTTAACTTAGACCATCGCTAAAGGTTGGCGCTGACCATGTACGTTTCTCACTTCTTCCTTAGTGGCCTTCGTTATGTACGAAGAGTTACAGGATTTCATTGCCTTTAACTTTTTATTTTTCTAATTATTAACCATTACGAATTCTTAAATTACCGTGTTCTGGTGGTATAATGGTTCTACCTCCATTTGGTATACAGAGCTTGGTTCTTTATTTTTCTGTTGTCACTGAGGGACTTTGTTTTTCATTTATTTAGCAGAGTCTTCACATATAGCCTCCTTACATTATACTGATGTTGCATTCTTAATATACTTATATGAAAAATAAATTTTGGTAATTCAAGGGTTAAAATTAAGCAATTAAATGAAATATATAGTAATAGATTTTGCAAAATAAGCATTAAATTGATTTTAATTTATTTAAGTTGGGTATTAGATAATTATATATTATTATACAAGATATATGTAAAAGAAATTTTCTATCCTACTATGTGTTTTGAAAATATAATCTAATGGAAATATATTGAATGAAATATTATTTAATAAAATTTATACTAGAGTAAGACACATGTTTGACCATTCTTTTCTTTAAAAAAATACTTTCGATAATAAAATATTTTGTTGAAATATAATATTGCAAAGATATTTCATTTAACATTTAAATCATATAAAATTCCACTTTTAGTTTGTAATAGACCTTTATAATTTCATTCTAACGACTGAAATTCAAGAAATACATGTCAACGACAAAAGTACACACTCCACCGGTGAAACCAGAGTTTGTATTACCCAATCATACCCAGCATTCATCCATGGATTGATTGGCGGAGACTAAATAACAAGTCCCATTGTCTCCTCTCTCACAAATCAGGATGAACAAGTCCAAACATTGTTGAGATTTGTATTACACAACAGAAGCAGAAAAAATATGTCTAGTAGAGATTCTTTCGTTAAGAAAAACAAGTGACAACACACATTATTTCAAGAAAATAACAAATTTTCAACTTCATATCTCTCCACGAAGAAGCAAACTTAACTCAACTTCAATATTCCTTCAGCTATCACAAACCGTCGTTGACAAACATCTTTTGACTGCCAAACATTAAATTTTGTCCAACGAAACAACTGTTTGTAAGTGTGAGCTGAAAAGGAAAGTGAAGGAAAATGAATGAAAGAGGGAGGCCTGAGTTGCAACTAACCATGCAAAGATGATTGATTGTGATGAGGAGAATTATGAGCAGACTTTACAGCTGGGAGGAAGGATGAGTACTGATTTCCATTGACATTTTGGTGACTTTCAACTCAAGGAGACTGATAACACGCCACAGTCCAAAAGGAAGCTTTGTCAAACCCGGACACGATCGGATTTCCAGTTGTCTCAAAGAGGGAAGTGCCTTGGAAGCTTCCAAACTCTTAACACATGCAGCTATATGCTATCTCTCAAGGTATCCAAGAATTTATTTAACAACAACTTTACCTCCCTCGCAAATCTGATTCTGCTTGGGAGAAAGAGAAACATTTATGAATTTCCTTCTCAATTGCAGACTACTATTGTCAATGGTGTAAGGCTTTTGGCCTCTTAATAAAATCTTTTATTTTTCAGACAGTAAATGTCTAGCACATTGATACAAATATGACATGTTAAAAGAAGACCCTTACATAATACAACATAACAACGAATAGACAGACATGCCTTCAACGAAACAATTATAATAATCTTCAAGCTATAAAGTTCATAAAAACATGGTATTCGCTTCTTCACAGAGCATAACATAATTTTTTTTTAAAATTTTCTTAGCCTTTGTTATTACTTCCAAAGAGAAACAGGCTAAGAGCAATATGAATCAAGACAACTAAAACAGAGATGTTGACTACAACAGGTTCACGTCCATGTGATGAGCTTTAATTCAATAAGGTTAGTAATAAATTCTTGCATTTTCACGATCGACGGAAGGAAAGAAAAATGTTTTAGATGTCCTGAATGATAATGTTAAATGAAAGACGTCTTAAATAAATTATTGCAGATCGAATACGAAAATCGTTGCTGAAATGTAAGTGATGAGTTCTTTTATGAGGTTTGTTGCGTTGAGTGATATATAATGTTAAATGAAAAAAAAAGTATAATAACTTGTGCGTGTTCATGATCGAAGAAAACCTATGGTTGATGATGACCTGCACGTATTAAATATTTTGCTGGGATATGTTCAGTTCAATGATAGATAACGTCAACTGGAAAATAATAGCCTTAAATAAACTCATGTATCTTCATGGTCGAAGAAAAACACGTTGATGACGCACAAGTAATAAGTTTTAAAAAAATGTTTTCTTAACCTTTTCTTTTTACAAAATTTGTTATTAGTGTTTCAAATATAGAAATAATAAAATAAATAATAATAAATAGTTCATTGTGAAAAAAATTATTAACATATTAAAGACTCGTTAAGCATACAGTAGGTTAAAAAAATGTTTTTTTAACCATATTTTTTAACAACTTTTTTATAATTACGTAATTAAAGATTGTATGTTCAATTATTCCAATAAAAAAGAATCATTCAACATTTTTGTAATTTTATTCTTATGCTTGGGTACACGTATTCAAATCCATCCAAGGCCAGTAAACGAAAAATTATACGAAAATGACTTATCTTTGACTGTTTGAATCAAAGATAACGATATTTTGACAACTTTTTTAGATAATATTTTAACATGTCATTTTGTGATTGGTCAAAAATTATTTTATAATCAATAATAATAATCATAAATACTAACATGAACTAATCACAAAATGACACGTAAATAATATTAAAATATTGTAAAAAAAATGTTGTGAAAGTATATTATCTTTAAATCAATTCTCCAAACTTAAACTAGGCAGGCAGCGAGAAACAGCGAGTTGACATTTGCTTGTAACCTAATAGCAATCAAAGAGAAGCACAAATATATGTTGTTCTCCAATAAGACTATAATGTTTGTTTCATATATAAAAACACTGGGTCAGAGTTGGGTCTTCTTTTTATAAAAGATATTACATTTTGAATAAAAAAATACAATTTAATTTCTAATTTATTATAAATATAACTACTTTTAATTTGTCAAAAAGTTATATATAAACATTTTAATTAGATTAACCTAAATTTGGTAAAAAGTTCGTTGTTTCTTTATATAAAAAAGTTATAAAACAATGTTAAAATTTTGACAAGTTAAACATATTTTATTTTCTTAAATTAATTAAATATATTGTTACAGTATATAAGATAATCATTTAGTTTTGTTATGTAAAAAAATTATTTAAATTTGACATAAAACTAAATACTAATCTCAATATTAAAAATTTAAAATAATAAATTTACGAATAATATTATTATTTTTATTATATATTGTTTATTTTTTTTTTTGTGAATTTTATTAAAATTAATAAAATATTATCACATATCTTTTGTCATGTTTGAAACTATCACAATACACTGTTTGTTATTTTATTAAATGATATAAGTTTTATTTTTAAATTGATAATACTAATAAATAATAAATAAAGAGTTAAACATGTTTTTGTCCCTCTATTATCCTCTATTATCAAACGTTTTAAAGTTAAATATGTTTTTCTTTTCCAAACTTTGTTTCAAAACTTTGCTTCTTTGATCTCCTTCTTAGAGAAACTATTTTTTTTTTAGGTGGCTAATGGTATTCCAGATATTTTTGCTTTTTTCTATAACGACTCAATCCTTCCATGCATCTTCATGCCCAACTTCTCTCCCTTCCTCTCCCTCCCTGTTCCTCCTTGTACGCCGGCGAGAACCCCACCGCATCCACCGAGATCGGTAATCTCTGCGAGACAAACCTTTACCACTTGAGTAAAATGATCAAACTCTGAACAGAATCACCTCTGCTTCACGATTCCGATCATCATCAAGTTCCACCACATTATTCCAATGCTTCTGTTTCCCACCCTGACCAGTCCTCTCCGAGAAGGAACCCTAGGTTCGATCTGCGCACTTCTCTTGCTAGCTAATTCTATCAATAATACTGTCATGTCATATTTCTACAAAAGTGAGAAAACATCATACGCATAACAATACTCCTGCCAATTACTACCCACACGGTGCTTTAAATAAAAAATAAGGAAAGTGGCAAGTTTTCCAAAGAAAGTGAAAATTTTGTAGCCTTGTAGTTTATGTCTCGTTTACTAGAAAAGCTCACATGATGTTCATGGAGTAACGAATATTGAGACGATCTTAGAAGATGAATACCTGAATCTTATTTAAAGTTGCAGAGAGTGAAATGAAAATCCAAAAAATGAAGAACACGTCCAACATTGCAGCCGGAAGAACTAAGAAAAGTTTTGCCTTTCCAGAAAGATCACTTACTGCACCGACATTTTCTACCAACTCAAGCACTTTAGATGCCACAAAGAAGGTTCCTCCAACATTTAAAACCGAATAAAAAAAACATGAGTATAACTTTTATATAAGCTAAAAACCTTTTTTATATCTTTTGTGGGTTGAATTGAGCATAAGGCCTGCTGAATTCAAACATCAGCGTAATTGACAAATAAAATCACACATTTCACATACATATTGAAGTGAATTAAAAGCATATACTTTAATAACAAAAAAATCACTTTTTACCAGGAACCTCACAACCACCACACCAAAAGCTAAATGCAGTAATTCAACAAGTCCCCTAACATTGCCAATTACATTTTTCACACAAAGAACACCAAACAATTCTGAATCTGACAGCTTCCATTTCTCCTATTCTAGCATACCCATCAACCATCACAGTCCATATTAACACATCCTTCAACTCACGAAAAACCTCATCAAACAACCTCCGAGTAGTGACAATATCTCCATTCCTAACAAACCCACACCTTATTTGACTCCAAGTCACTTGAGTTTTCCCTTGCATCTCCTCAAATACAAGAGAAGCAGATCTTGTGTCTCCATTTCTCAAGTACCCACTGATCATGGCCTTCCAAGTCAAGACATTTCTCTCAGGCATTATATCGAACAGTTTCCATGTATGCCTTGAGTAAAAGAGGGACCACACTGGAGTCGTATAATCCTACGTGTCGGGTTTGTTTATACGCAAGAAGGGCACATCTCAATGATCCTTACCGAATGTGGTTCCTTATTGAACAAGACCAATAAGATGGGTTGTTCTCCATGAGGCAAGGTTAAAACTCATCATGGATTCACACAATTTGGCATGTTAGCGTGTTTATGTAAAAATTTTGACAAAAAGATGGATATAAGTGTTTCAACATCTTACGGAGGACTAAATTGCAGCTGCTATGATAATTTTAAAATTAAGAGTAACTACAATTTCTAGCAGTTGAAGAGAAACTCAAGCAAAGGTGGTGCTATGGTTTAAAACATGTAATTTCAATGAAGTGTTTTTGCCCTTATGCGAGCTACTCGTGATTGGTGATGGACGAGATTGTGATGCGATTTGGGTTGCAATCGTAATTAGGGTTATGTGATTTTTAGATTTCTCTGCTTCGTGGTTTCTTCTAGTTTGTGATATTTTCCTTTCTGCATGTTTTCGGTGATGGCTGATGGAAGAGATGACAACCATGATACGAAGAAGATGATGAAGTTAATTAAGCGTCAAACAAAAAACTCCGTGTACACGTTACATGAAACGTGTTTACCATTAGCCAGCTCATTCAAAAATTTAAAGTTATTAGTTTTCAACGACTAAAAATTATAGTTTCTGAAAAAATAAAAAGGAAGCAAAGTTTGTGAAAAGGACGAAACCCAAAAACATTTTATAATTGAAAGACGAAAAACATATTTAATCGATAAATAAATTATATCGTGTTAAATTATATATTATATTTTATTTAATAACGTAATAATACATATAATATAAAAATATTAATTTAAATATAATAAAATTATAATATATTAAACTATCTAATAAAATATATATAATTTTATGTGTTTATAAATATTATTATTTTTTAAAGTTAATTAAAAGTTTTATAATAGGTTAAACTTATATGACCTGACTTTAACCCATTTCAGAGAGAATTTGTAGGTTGTGATTTTTTTTTATCTTTACTTGAAGAGGCTTCTTAAGTGAAATTTTTTTCCAAAATGAGTTAGAATTGACCCACGAATCAAGCTGACACATCTATAAATAAATAATAAACGCAAACATATTATCTATTAAATTTTTTTTTAAAAACATTTTCACTTTTTCAATGAATAGATTATTTTTATTTCTTACAGAACAATATTAATACAATTTATTTAGGATCAAATTAAGAAAATATGTTGTATGATTCCTAAAAACTGAGTCATGTTATACATTTTTAAAAGTTAAAAATTCTTTAGAATAGAAATAGTAGATAATTATATTTTTTTTAAATCGATCCCGTCTTAATTGATTCTGGTTCGTCGTTCTCCCTTGTCATTGTCATGGCGATTAACAAATCATGGGGAGATATATAGAAAGTAAAAGTGAAAAGGCTAAACTTTTTGGTAAAAGATTGATGTTTAAGCTGCACTGCACACGTGCATGTATACTTTTTCTTTGTTGGACAAATGTAATCATAGACATGAAGAACAAGACAACATAAATGGAACGACTGAGGTTCACTCAACTCATCTGATCACAGGAAGAAGAATGCTTCTGTTAGCATCATCATCCCCTTCTCTTTCTCTTTCTCTTTCTCTTCCTTCAGTCTTCCACCTTCATTATCCTCTTCCTTCTTCATTCCCTTGCCCTTCTCTCCACCTTCGCTTTCCTTCCCAAGCAACCCCACTTCGCCTCCATACCCCACTTCCCCTTTCTTGCTCCCTTAATTCTTCTTCCTCCGTGGAACAATCTGCTTCACTTTCTCAGGTTTTTCTCCAGTCTTAATTGGTGCATTCACAGCTCATTTCATGTTCATGGGTGCAGCCCTTTTATTGGAATTGCTAACTGCTGTTGAAACATGTTTGATGACCCAGATGCAGAATAGCTTGTTGTACTCCAGAGCTTATTGGGTCACTGAATTTCTCATTGCTTGGAACGTGGATGTTGCAAATGAGTTTTCTTGCCAACTGATTGCCAGCAAAAATGCTTCTTTGACCATTGCGAATGACCAAATTCAAGGTTTTGATTTCTGAAGTTCCTTCTAGTTTTTCAAACCTGTGGAAGGAAAAAATGCCGTTGTCTCTTATTTACAGTTGATTGCAGTGGACGTTGACTCAATGGGCTGTTAAATGCTAATTAACAGGTGAGGATTTGAAAGTTGAGCTTCAAGAGGATAGAGCTGGCCTTCCTGCAAATGTAATCTACCCTTTTGTCCTGACATCCTTGGGATATTTCTAAATGATGAATGATGAAATGTGCTGCTGATTGTTTTATGGTTCCATTATTTTTTAAAATCACATACAGTGGAAGAAAGGATCACTTATGAGTACAAAATTTGCGCTGTTAGGTGTTGGAGAAATTTCCACATATTCGAGGTTACAAAGCTTTCAAGCTGCCATCCACTTTGGATGTTAAACCTCTTCTTAAATCCCAGTTAGCAGTTGCGATTTATGATTGTGAGTCCTCTTCTTTCTATAGTATCACATAGATCCAGAAGTATAGATACAACTTACGGAGTATCAAGTGCTTATGCTTTGCTTCTTTATTAGCAATTTCTGATCTACCCTCCATTAGATTGTAAAGTAGAAGGAAAAGTGTCTTTGCTGACTCTAGTGTCTACTAATAGTAATCCTTTCTACATCTTGCGCAGCTGATGATAAATGTAGGAATTGTACTGGTTTACAGTTACCTGGTGTTTTAGATGAGGTTTTCTCATATAATGGTCCTCTTGGTGCACTTTTCTCAGAGGAAGCTGTGTCACTTAACCTGTGGGCGCCAACTGCTCAAGTACATTTTCTTTTATTGAAAAAGATATAGGTTTTTTATGCGTTCTTCAATCGTATATGCATAGTAAGATATATATTTGCTCACAACATATATATATTTGCTAAAAACAGGCAGTACGTGCTTACATCTATAAGGACCCATCAGGAGATGATCCCATAGAAATTGTTTGCCTTGAGGAGGAAAATGGTGTTTGGAGAACTAAAGGACCAAAAAGTTGGGAGCACTGTTACTATGTTTATGAAGTATGTGTTTACCATCATAGCACTTTGCGGGTTGAAAAATGCTATGCAAATGATCCATATGCTAGAGGGTATGCTCTGTTCATGCAGTTTGCCATCATTTATCTTTTGCAAATTGTTTCTGTACTAATTCTAATATCCATGAGTAACAGTTAGTAATATCCACTCTTAGTGATTAAATATAAATTTAATTATCCATATGAATTTTATATTTAAACACACCTTTAATCTGTATTTAAGCAGAGTTTCATCGGATGGGCAGCGGACTTTTCTACTTAATCTTGACTCTGATGAGTTGAAACCCGATGGATGGGATGATCTGGCAAATGAAAAACCTACCATACATTGTTTCACTGATATAAGCATATATGAAATGCATATAAGGGATTTCAGGTAACTATTTAGTCAAATCTTTAATTTTAATTGAGGATCAGTTTTGATGTGATAATAGATCGGGAGGTATTACCTCAAGCTATGAATCAAGGTAAATAGATGGATGCAAAGGAAAAGTTCTACAAAGTTAGAAAACTTTTAAAGAAAATAGATAATAACTTTAATATAATAAACCCTTTGTTTGGGTATAAGGTTAAATAGAAATGATATGATAAGAGTTATTGCTTGGTTACATCTATAAGAGTGGGAGTGTTTAGTCTCCTTCCTTTCCAACATGCCTCCTATATAAGGAGTGTCTTAGGCCATTTTGTAGGTATTTTTTTACTTTGGAAAGAAAAGACATCTTAAGTGCTTGTAAAAACTAGAGAGTTTATTTCTTTTTGAATTCTTAGCTTCAGTGTTGGGTCTCAAGGCTGAATCGCCTTGCTTGTCTTAGGCAGTTTGTGTTGAGGAAGATTCTTTCTAATTCCTAGCTTCTTTTTAAGTCATAATCTCGGTCAGCTCCCAAGAAAGGATAACCTCATCAAAAGTTATCTTTCTTTCTACGGGATACATATAACCACCCTAGCTTTGACCATCCGTGAACCAACCAAACACCATCCAAACCATCTTGGAGCACCATCCAAATTCACCAAAAACACCTCCGCCCTACTCAATTAATTTCTGATTATAACCCCACATAGAACACTTACACTATCAAGATTCAAGCAAGATCTTGAACCCTCTTCTCGTTATAGCTTCTGCAAACCCCTACACCAAAACCCAACTAAGAAACATCCAAGAATTCATCAAGAAACTTGGTAGAACCCAAACCAAAGCATGTGCAAGCAATCCCATGCCTGAAACCATGGATTCTTCCTTTGGAGCTTGAAGGGTCCTTCCCTCAGGAGTAAGTGAAAGGTACTAAAAAAAAAACAAGAACAATACTGAAAATTCAATGTTTTATAATTGAATTCAGGTCTGTTATAAAGTGATACAAGATAATAAAAAGAAAATGGTTGAAAATACAAAAGGAAAAATATAATACTAGACAGTTAAAGAGTACCTATTCTCTCCTGAAAATCCTTCTCACCCTTTTTCCTATCTTTTCTGGCAGTTTCCCACATTATATATTCATCACCCACTATCCCTCTCTCTCATAACCAACTTAATTACTGATTATAGTCTTTCTCTCTTCTCAACTTCCTTTAGAATGTTTCTTTCTTCTAATATAATATTTTCCAAATTTGCTATCTATTTTGGCCTGAGACAGATTTATATTTTGGGTCTTATCAATAACCTTCCAAGGTTATCACTAAATGTTATCTTTTATTTTTAAAAGTTTGCAATAATGGGTGTTTTCTAGAATCCAGATGATCGAGGTGAAGCTTTGAAATATGCCTACCTTGAGCTTTCAAATTAAAATTAAAATAATGTTTTATATTTTCTTGTGTATGAAAATAGGCTTTTCACAATATCCTCTCCTAATTTGATGTGAGAATCTCTTTGAAATTTATAATTCTGCCCTCAGCATTTAGACGATAACTAATCTAGTCAAGTCCAGCATACTAAAATCGATCCTTGTGAACTTTTTGTTTGGTTCAATCGAAAATAATCAGAGGAGAAAGAGAGATGGATAAAGAGCAAAGAGTCAAGCTCTGCATGAAACTCCCTTATGCTATTTTTTTTTTCTTTTTTCTTTTTTTTTTTATCTGTCTGATACTTTTAATGATTTTAAGTTTTCTTGGTTTTTTCAGATAGCTTTAGCAGGTAGTCTGTTGCTAGTTGTCACAAAATATTAGCCTATTCCCACAATCTTTAAAATAGCTAATTATTGTGTGTAGTTTTTAGATGTATCACTTGGAAGGGCTGTTTGCTTTGAGATTTTATGTGACATTTATTTTTTTCGTCATGAGCACCTTTTCCTTGCTGCCGCAGTGCCACTGACCTCTCTGTGCAACCTGCATTTCGTGGTGGTTATCTGGCCTTTACATTGCAGGTAATTCTATTATATAACTCTTGCTATTGATGGAGTTCCATAAGAATAAGAATTTCTATATTTTAGGAATACTAATTAAAATATTGAGCAGTGCTAAACCTTTATCTTCTGATATGGTTAAACAGTTGTTGTAATGGGAAATGAAAACTTATTGAAATCATTAAAAGAGAATATTGTAAGCATAGATGTGATGTCTTAAACTTACTTTAGCAGCATGCTTGCAAAGAGAGAACCTAATGATATATTGGATTCATAAAATTTCCAGATCCAAAATTTGTCGGCTTAATTTGGGGACATTTGGATCATGCTGTGGGATAGGCTAGCCTTGTAAAATTATATTCTCTTGTTGATTTTTTTTTTCTTTCCGTCTCCTAAATTATTTGTCTACAATTATACTCTATATCAGCCTTTGATCTTTCACTTTTTAATTCTCTTCAATATTTCTTTGGTTCTGAAAAATAGTAACTTGAATACTGGGTCAACAATGACTCTAACTGATATTAGAACTGGTCCTTCTGTCTATTAATTATTATCTGCTAAAAAGCATAGAGTATGTTTGGGCCTTGTTAGCTCACCTATTAATTATAACAAAAATGAAATGACTCAATGCTGATATTTCATATAAGCCTACAGTTATTGGGTCACCTCCTTTGGGTCTTGCAACTTGTCAGAATACGTCTTCTATTTTAGACATATGTTATAACTTTAGTTATACTTGTGTTTCATTTCTCATCTTCTTTCCTTTTCACTGTAGTTAACGTTGAAAGTTGCTCTAAATAGTTTATATCAACCGCTGCAATTAATGTGTTCGGTTTTTCTATTTAGTAAATAAAAATCAAAGCGCTGACAGTGTTACTGTCAAGGTTCCTCTCCATGCCCTCAATTAAGCTATTTCTCTTGCTCAAGTTCTATCAACTCTCCAATACTCTTTCTTAAACTCCATGTAAATACCATTCTCAAAAGGATGGTGATTCAATATAGATTATGTGACTTAGGAACTCCATGAAGAAATTAATGAAACTGAACAATATATTGAAAACATGATTGATTTGTGACTGATATAATCGGTGCATTAGTAACTGCTGTGATGGAATTTGAAGTAACTGGGAACATACGTTTGAAGGATTCTGCAGGTGTACTTCATCTGAAGAGATTATCAAGTGCTGGTATCACTCATGTCCATCTATTGCCAACATTTCAATTTGCTGGTGTTGATGATTGTTAGATGTTAAGATGTGTGTTTCTGTTATTTGGGCTTAGTCTATTATGTATTAAGGGCATTGGCCCATATCTTACAATATAAATAAATTACCCTATGTGTATACAACACACACAAGGGATATTCTCTCCCAATCTTCTCTATTTCTCATAATGATCAAAAGGAGAACTGGAGATTTGTAGGTAAAATTTGAATGGGTTAAATTTTGGTTCGTTCATCTTCACACAGTTTTCTTTTTCTTATAAATTTTGGTGGTAATATAATGAAAAAATATGAAAATAAATCTCATGATATTTACTATCAGAGATTAGGCTATGTTTTCCACCCTCTAGGTTTCCTTTTGTGAGGGCTACTTCGTCTTTAAATTACTACCCTATCATGTCACATTTTTTTTGTCCATCTTTGCTAATGATACTCATATCCTTGTTGTTATGTGAAATGCTAGTCTTTCTTCTGCCTTGTATATTCTCCTATAGTAACCATGTTTGTTATATATTTTGTTTGAAGCTTATAAATAAGATATGTGGTAAAATATGAACTCATAATTATATTGTTTTTGAATTATCTTATGTGTTTATCTAACACTAGCACTCTGATAGATACCTCAATACTGGAAAGTTTCCCACCTGATTCCGATCAGCAACAAGCTCTCATCACAGCTATCCAAAATTTTGATGGGTACAACTGGGGGTAGGGTCCTAATGCGACATTTTCATGTCAAGTTTGCTTATTTATATAATATACATTTTTTGGTAATGTGCTCATTTATAGTTTGTCTTCAAAAGGTACAACCCTGTTCTTTGGGGGGTTCCTAAAGGCAGTTATTCAAGTAATCCAAATGGTCCATACCGTACAATTGAGTTCCGAAAGATGGTTAAGGTTTGAATTCTTTGTTTTCTCACTGTATGTATTCATAGATCCAATTTTCTATTCAGTTTTTTTTTTCTTTTTGTTATGATTTTCTATTTAATTTGTCAATGTAGATCAGTAATACTATTGTCTATAGTCATTTAAATAATTTTTTTGTTCTGTCTCTTAGAATTTCTATGCTTTGCAGGCTCTTAACCATATGGGCCTCCGGGTTGTATTGGATGTTGTCTACAATCATTTGCAAGGAAGTGGGCCTTTTGACGAACATTCTGTCCTTGATAAGGTCATGAGTGATAATGAAGTTTTTTTTGTTGACCTGTAATTGTTGAGATATGGATAGCTATTTGAGTATTTCTTCACTATTTTTGGTAAGCCAATATACTTTTGTGGTGTGACACAAGGTATCTTATAGATTGTTCCAGGTTACTATTTAAGAAGGAATAGGGATGGATTCATTGAGAACAGTACTTGTATAAATAACACTGCTAGTGAGCACTTTATGGTTGAGCGTTTGATTCTTGACGATCTTGTACACTGGGCACTCAATTACAAGGTGATTGTTTATATCATTCAGTGGTGTTCACTTCGACCTCTTAGATTTTTATTCTTTTGAAACTTTTTCTGCTTATTGGATGTACTCTGAGTTCCGTGTAGTACTTCACTGTTCTGAAATATTTGATTTTATGTAGAAACTACAGTTTTTCATAGTAGGAAAAATTTGTTCTCATGGCTTCTTTAAGAGGGAGTTGCCAGTATGATTTGTCGAGTTTAACAAGCCCCCATCATTTGTAGTTTTATTGTTCGTTTTAAAGGCTATCCTGAACCTAAGGATTTTTCATGTCCTCCTCCTCTTCCATAATTGTAGTTTTCTAACAAAAGGATAAATGTTTAATGAGTAGATTACGTATATTAGACCCTAAGATGCTTTTCCTTTTTTCAGATTGATGGGTTCAGATTTGACCTCATGGGCCACATAATGAAGAGAACGATGGTATGTATTGTAACAATTTGGCATCTTACAATTTGACTTAATATGAAAACATGTTATCAAATGAGTGCAAGGTATATTTAGAATAAATAAGCTATTGAATCTCTTTGTAATGTGGTTTCACTTTGTTGATCATGGAAAACCGTAAAGTTGCTTGGTATGTGTAGCTTGTGATTTAGATATAATTTCAGAAAATATGCTGCATAAGAGTTGAATACTAAATTATAGGGATGACAAACAGAATATGAAATAATGTCTAGTTATCATGATTTTGGATTATGTGTATCTGGGTAAAAAGCTAATAAAAGATGAATCTATCGTCATATCACAAATAAACAATTGAAGTATTGTTTTCGTGATATGAATACAGGTGCAAGCAAAAACTGCTCTCCATTGTTTAACAACAGAAAAGGATGGAGTAGATGGTTCAAGTATCTACATGTACTTGTTCCCCAATGCTGGGTTTTATGAATTACATTTGTTAATGAATTTCTTTATGTTCATTCCTCGGCTTTCACTCATTTGCATGTTCACATGTTGTATTTTAGCCTCCTTTCTTTAACATTCTTTTCATTTTAATTGAAAAAAGATATGGCGAGGGATGGGACTTTGGTGAAGTTGCCAAAAATGGACGTGGGATTAATGCTTCTCAGTTCAATCTCCCAGGAACACAAATTGGGAGGTAAGACTTGTCTATTTTCACCATGTGTTTGTTGGTGTTGCTTAGTAGTCTTTCCATTTTTTTTATAATGCTGAAGATAGAACTTCTGAATTGGATTGCTTTTTTGGGTGCAAAACTAAGTTAATCTAAAATGCAATTATTCATTTAAATTCACATGATATGGTTATCGTATGTTAATTTTAAGAATTAGTCTCACAGTGTAAAACTTTAATATTCAGAATTGTCTGTATAATGCATTTTATTTTATTAGTTGTGTTGGAATGCAATATACAGCTTTAATGATCGAATACGCGATGCCATACTTGGTGGGTCTCCATTTGGCGACCCTCTTCAACAGGGTTTTGTGACTGGACTACTCTTGCAGGTATTGGCATTCTTTCTTTGATCACTTATTTCTTACTGTATAGGCATACCTTTGACCTTCAAACCTTAGATTTGTATGGTAATATCTGTCTTCCTTTGTTTTTTCTTTTATAATTTTTCTGGTATTGATTAGGCTCATTGGGTAGAATTTAGGAGCGGTAATGTATTATTACAATATGGGATAGAAAATAACTTGCATTGTTTTTTGGTAGAATTAGGAACTTCCTTGATGACAGTTAATCATGGAAAAATAACTGCTGACAGTTATCTCTTCAGGTTATTTGACAGTAGGGTGTGTAATTGTAATTAGGGAGCAGGTGTTGTGCTTGCAGTTTGTGGACAGAGGGTACTCTCTATAGGAGAGACTTCATGGGATAGAAGCACATTGCTGTGTTGCATGTGATTTCTGTGTTTAGCGTTATATTTGACTGATCTACCTATTGGTGTTTTATCATATTCCTATGAGTGTTGGAATTCATCCTGTTTATGCAGCCTAATGACCATGACCATGGAACAGAAGAAAATGCGAAATCCATGCTTGCTGCATCAATGGATCACATCCAGGTCTGCATCAGTGGCTTTATGGACTTTTGTCTTTTTCTGGATTTCTTATTTTTAAGTTAAAAATTTTGGGTACGTGAATTGTAAATATTATGGTGCCTGCTGACAAATTTGATAGGGATTTCCATGATTGCACTTCATGTAAATTTTTTTGTTTCAATTTTGGTAAACATATATCCTTATTATTTTTTTGTTTTATCTTTTGAATGGTTTTGCCGTTTTAAGTCAATAACTGCCATTATGAACAAGAGAGATACTTAGGAAATGTTTTGAACATAGAAGGCTGATGTTTGTAATGAATAATTTGTAAACAGAATATATCTTCTGCGGCTGTTAAGTAATTCTGGTTTGGTTAAACAGATTCTGTTGTAAACCAGAATTATAAACAGGGTTGATTGTTCTTTGTGAAGAAATAATAAGTAGTGTTGAGTTTTGTGTATCCTCTACAATCTCTTACGACTTGAGTGAGTGATCCAGATATAATATTTGTGAGTGAAAGAGTTCAGTGCAGGTAGTGGCTAGAACAGTAAAGGAAAAGTGGAAGAACTGTGCAGGGCTGAAGTGGTGGTTAGTGCTAAGAGAGAAGATATTTGGTGAGAGTGATAAAGAATAGAAAAGTTTCTCACAATGTTCTACATTGAAAGGCGGTGTTCTGAAAATGACACTGACGCAGCTGCTACATGCCTTCAATACGTGTTGGATATTCTTCTGTAGTGTCTGAACTCTTTTTTATTTTTTATTTGTAGTTCTAACTCAGTCAACAGCATGGAGCCAACACCTATTCTTGGCTAGACAACGATCTATAAAAATAATTAAAAAGATCAGTTTTTATTAAATAATAAAAAAATCCTTACAAAATCAACCTATAAAAGGAGAATTACCATTTGTTTACAATTTGGTCATATCCTTAATCGAAACAAGATATCCAACAATCTTTTCCTCACATTGAGTATTAGACATCTTAAACATATAATTTGCAAGAATGAATATTTGTGGGTGATCTAATAATGGTATGATAGATTCAACAACAATCGTCATGATAAATTTAACTTAAATTGACTTGTAAGATAAGGTTTACACTCACTTATATACTATAAATTAGTCTTGTCTCTAGTCAATGTGTGACTTCCAACAGAATGTTATGAACATAGGTGAAGTTTCTTTCTCATTTTTGTAACTTCAAAAGAATTAGAACTTATCTATTATTTTACATGCCAGTAAATTCAACTGGAAGATGGTTTATTTGTAATAGCAGCCACAAGGTTTGGTTTTATCATATGAACAAGTTGCATGCGTTCTTGATGGAAACAAGACTCTTGAGCTTGTATAATTAATAATTTACTTACTTTCTCTTTGTTAATGCAATACAGAAAATAGACACCCAGATAAGGCATTATTGTTTAAAGGAGCACCAATGTTCTATGCTTCTATTATATTCTGTTTTCATATTGAGATACACATACCCACACACGTATATAGCTTATAAGTCATTGATGTTCTTTTGTGTTTTCCAGATTGGAATGGCTGCCAACTTGCAGGATTTTGTGCTAACCAATTGTAAAGGTGAAGAGGTATTCAGATGGATCAATTTTCTGACTAATGAAGTTAAAATTGTTCTTTCTGAATGTTGTTTGTGCAAATATCACTGTGGCTCTATTTCTTTTATTTGGAATTGGATATTGCACAAGGAATTGTGAGATAATATTGAAATTCTCATTTAATTATTTCCTTGTTCTTTGGATGTATGATTTATGTTTTCTTTTCTAGAAAAAAATGTCAGGATGGGAAAATTAGATATATAAATCATTTAATATTTTTTATTCCGAGGTGAAAGAGTGATTTTTGTGAAATTAGCTTGATAGTTGTTAAATTTGTGGTTGTGGTGATATTGGTAGTGATAGACAATGCAAAGTGGCAGTAGTTGGTTGCCCTAATGGTAATATCAATGATGATGGACATTGAATAGCAGCAGCAACAATGGTGGTGATAATATTGTGGAGTGTGACAATAATGATATGTGTAGTGAAGGAAGTATTGGTGGTTAAGGTTAGCAACCAGAGGCCAGCTGGGATAATGATGATAGAGAATCTTGAAATGGTTCTTGTAGTATCAGACTGAGGTGTTTGGAGTTGTTGCCTCCCTTGCATTGCATGTGGGTTGAAGAGTCTACTTATTCTTGCTTCATGGGTTCTATTTTGATTCTAGCAAGGACGGGCAACTTGGGCAACTTTTATGAGCATGTTTTTTAATTTAGATAAAATTTTAAAGTATAAGCTTAAAGAATATATGGTTATGGAAATAGGTAAATTGTAAGGGAAATGTTATAATTTAGTCAAAATCAGTCCAAGAAAAAATAAGTAGCTCAAGTTTAGGTGAGAAAAAAAGGCAAATTGTTTTTAGAAAAGTAAAAGAATTAATTTGAGAGTATAAATGGAAATTTTAAGAAAAAAGAAAAATTCCTAAGTGTTGGAAGTCCCACATCGACTAGAGATAAGGCCAATTCATAGTTTATAAGTGAGTGCAAACCTTACCCTACAAGCCGGGTTTGTGGGGTTGAAGTTAGACTTAAAGTCCACTCCTAATATGGTATCAAAGCCATGATTAGAGCCTTTCCTAGTGAGTTTTAAGTGGGCATTCTATTCTCATTTTTGAAGGGGTGTTGGAAGTCCCACATCGACTAGAGATAAGGCCAATTCATAGTTTATAAGTGAGTGCAAACCTTACCCTACAAGCCGGGTTTGTGGGGTTGAGTTAGGCTTAAAGTCCACTTTTAATACTAAGTAATCTTTTGGGTAAAAAAAAGCAATTTGATGTAGAAAAAGCAATATAGCACAAAATGAAATTAATTTGTGAATAATTATGTCTTTAGGACAAAAATGGTATGATACGAGTCATCAAATTGGTAGACTCTTTTTATTATGAGTGGATTGTTCAATGTTTCTACACTGAATGCTGACCATGCTAGTATAATTAAAAGATATTTTACCTGTTGTGAGATAATTCTTTGCACAAGAAATATTGTCTGATAACTTCATTTTGATGGTGTCAGGTAAAAGGGTCAGAAATATTAACATATGGTGGGACACCTGTTGCATATGCCTCATGCCCCACAGAGACTGTAAGATTATTCTCTTGTATATCCCTCAGCTGTCCTTCTCTTAAATCTAAAACATGTTCTGTATTTTTGAGAAATGTCGTGAAATTAAATTTAGTAATTAACATCACTATCAACTATGTAAAGGGAATGGCAGACTTTTTTTTTAATGAGATTGACATCTGTTTTGCAGATCAATTATGTTTCTGCTCATGACAATGAAACCCTATTTGACATTGTGAGCTTAAAGGTATCCTAAATATTCTCAAAATTCTCTGTTGCTCTTGCAATTTTTTTTTTTCACGGTTTCTGATACAAATCTGCTCCTTACTTTCAGACCCCAATGGACATCACTGTAACTGAGAGATGTAGGATAAACCATTTGGCAACCAGTATTGTAGCATTATCACAGGTTAAAGAAATTAAATGGTTTTTTATTCACTAATAAAAACTCGAGATTTATTTATCTCTATTATTTTTTGTTGATGCATTTATATTCTTATCTTGGTGTATTTATTAGGTGCACGAGCACCAAAAACGATAGGATAGAGTTGAACATATATAAAGGCACCAAGGTTAGAGGAAAAGATTTAGATTGGTGCTAACTTTGTTTGAGAAGAAGAGGTCACATAAACTAACTACATAAATCATTTTCATCTGACGAGTTAATGTCTCGGTAAACAAGTGCCTCTGTGATGCCATGGCAATTTTAACAAGAAACTGTCACACTTATATTTTAGTGATTTTCTTTGCCCTCGTAATTGAAACTGAAATTTTATCTCCTCAGAACAAGACTTATATGTTGGGTACAAACAAAGTCTCACATTAGATAAAATAAGAGATGGACATGGGTTTATATACACATAAGATACCTCCATTGGTTAGAAGCCTTTCTGAGTGGTACAAAAAGAAAATCTTATATGTAGTGATGTTCTTTCTATGAAATGTTAACTCAAACTTTCTTATATGCAGCAATGTTTGTACTTTTGGTTTTATTCAATGTTAAACTATATATTTGAGCCAGTGAGTTTCGATAAGTTGGACCTTGTGGTTTCCTATATTTTATTAGACAAACTGATTGCTTAGATTATAACCTACAATTTCTTTTTGAGTCTATTCTAGTGCTAACGAATTTGTGTTCTTAGGGTATACCATTTTTTCATTGTGGAGATGAGATTCTCCGCTCAAAATCACTGGACCGAGATTCATACAATTCTGGTGACTGGTTCAACAGGTATTTTCTGCATATAATAACGTTTGCTTCTCTTTGGCTTGGCCATGCGAAATAAATATATCATCTACTTCATTATGATGCTCTAAAAGTTACATTCATTCTTGAATCAATCCAATTATTTTCCACTGTTTAATGAAATTTACAATACGATTCCTTTTATGCACTCTTGATTTCAGACTTGACTTTACATACAATAGTAATAATTGGGGTGTTGGACTTCCTCCTCAAGAGAAAAATGAAAAGAACTGGCCACTGTAAGCATCTGAATACTTTATCATTACCATTTATAAAATATGCTACACTGGATCACCAACTTACCTGGCAGTGTATGTTATAATTGTGACCTTTGGGTTATTGAATTTGTGATGTACGGTAATCCTATTGTTAATTTTCAGAATCAAACCAAGACTAGCAAACCCATCCTTCAAGCCTCAGAAGATTGACATTCTTGCTACCATGGACAATTTCTTGAACCTGCTACGTATAAGGTACTCTTCACCACTTTTCCGCTTGAAGACAGCAAATGCTATCCAGGTCAGCCGTTTTAAATTTCTTCATTTTATGAAATTATTTCTTCTTTTAGTGCCTTGATATAAAGCTCATTGCCAGTGACTAATTATTTTAATTAACTATATTTTCATATGACTCAGACATCAGTATTTCATTCTGTTTCTGTTTTCTGATTCATTTTTACATCAGATTTGTTGTTGAAACAAGGTTTCAAATTTCATGTTATTTTACTCCCAATTCAGTTTCCATCTTAAGCTGTGAAAACTCTCTAGCTAGCCCCTTCTTGCTCAAAGAAGCCGAGGGCAGGATATATTGAATTGGAATTCCTTATTTAAAATCTAGTTCTGGCCAAGCTTTTTTTTTTATATATATATATATTTGCTTTAACTAGATGTAGCGTCTAAATTTATTATATTTTTCATAAATTTCTGTTAAATAGGTGATGTGGGTTTAATACGTTGGTGTTGATTGTACCAGATCTTTGTTGTTGGTATTGCACCTCGCAGTATTTGACCATTATTTTCAGCTCAGACCTGTGACTATTTCCACCTTGAATAAAACTTTTTTCTTCTAAAAATGAACACATTTTGCCTCGTACAATTTCAAATATTCACATATTCTCAAAGTGATGCACGATTACTTTGGTTATTTAACATGCCTAAAATTGTTCAAACTCTTGGATGGTACGATTATAAGCTTCTGTTTCCTTCCATAACTACTCATTTACTTTGACAAAGATGATAGGTAAAAGAATATTCTACACAATTTTATCGTATATTTTCTATAATCATTAGTATTGGCCTCACCATCATCATTAATCTTACTAGTATCAGGCTTTCACATCTTGATATTTTAAAACCTTACACATCTTTTGTCTCTCATGGATGAGTTGAGCCTGTGATTCCTATTATTTGGATCATTATCTGTACGTTCCCTCAGTTTGCTTGTATCTGACAAGAGATAACTCATGGATAAAGCATGTAATGATGGTACACAAGTAAGCTTTTATCTGTCATATCTGCAGCAACGAGTAAGCTTTCACAATACAGGACCTTCATGGGTTTGTGGAGTCATAGTAATGAGCATTGAAGATGGTCATGATGGCTTTCCTGGGTTGTCTCAGCTGGATCCCATGTACGTTAAGAAGGCTTTTGTAATTTTTTCGTTTGAAGACTTAACATCCATTCATTTTTTTGAGAAATGGTGTTGGCAGATACTCCTTCATTGTGGTTGTCATGAACGCAAGTCCAAAAGAAGCATCATTTGTTTGCCCTGCCCTGCAATCGAGAAGCCTCCAGTTGCATCCCATACAGGTACTAAAACTTAAGAATTTAAATGATGAAAAATTGATCCTTTACAGAGTAATGTTTTGGAAAAATACTGTTTTGATGTAAGTGTCAAATTAGGTGAATTATTCTACTTCAATGTTAGAGAAATTTTGCACAGACTTTCAGTTTTTATGCAAGTTTCAAGTGGCCTTTCTTTATGTTCATAATCTAGTTTGATTTCACCTTAAGTACGTTGCACCATAAGGTTGTAGGATTTACAAGTAAGCATTGTTATAACCGTTGTAACATAGTAATTTTTACTCTGGACTCAACAATCAACAGAACACTATAATTCAGACACTGCTGTATATTGATTCATGTTTGTTTGATTCATTTATAATTTAAGCAATGTTGGTGAATTCCCTTTTGTGCATTGTGTTACAGGTATCATCATCATCCGATGAAGTAGTTAAGAGCTCAAGATACGAGGCATCTTCTGGGTGTTTCGTTGTGCCTCAAAGGACAACAGCTGTGTTTGTGGAGCCAAGGAAAACATGAGTCACTGCTTCAGCCAAGCATGTAAAAGTTGCTTTGGGATGCTTCTTTTCTGACCTTCACTTGGATTTAAAGCTTTCGCATCACTTTTCCTTTTCTTCCTTTTTAAAGACATGTTTGGTATATATTTCTGTTCTTGTTTTTCTTTGTCTTCAATAATATTAATAATAATTATAAAATATGTTTTATTTTTTAAGAAATCAAGCGCTTAAAATAAAATCACCACTGAAAAAGATATTAATAAAGAATTGTTTAGAATTTAACTTTATATATTTTAATTTATTTAGACTTACGAGATTGAAATTACTCTTACAAAAATCAATTGTTTAAAATTTATGTTTTTTGTGCAACTTATTTAAATTTTTTTAGAAAAATCAAATTTACTTGCATTAATATTTTAGTTTGTAATTTTATTTGAATTGTATTTTAATGATAATTTTTTTATTTAAGTTTATACATCAAATATTTATTTATATATAATTTTATTTAACATTAAAAAATATACATATACATTAGCAAAAGTATAAAAAACACTGGATACCAACTAGTAATAAGACGAGTAACTGCATATATTTTTTTAGACTGAACAGGTAGCAAGTAAATATTATTATTATACCCAAACCAATCTCTTATAATTCTAATAAATATCTTCACTTTGTTCTTTTAATTTATAAAAAATTACTTTTAAATTGTGTAATCTAAAAACCATCTTTTATATGAAAAAAATAAATCAGATCGCATAATTTAGAATTATTTTTGCAACGTGGAAACTTATTTTACTTCCAAATTTTGCAATCTGAAAGATTTTTTTATTTTACTTCATATTGTGTGATTTAAAAGTTATTTTTTTGAATAAAAGAAAATTGGATTCCTGAATTTGAAATCCATTTTTTTCATAGAAGACACAATTCAAAAGTGTCTTTTAGATATATGAAAGTCATATTTTTACAAAAAGAAAAATATGGATTATCATGATATATTTACTTCTTTTAAGTGAAAAAAGCGCGAGAAGTAGTAAATGGACAAAGCCCATGGAATTTTAATAAGAAACCATGGGGTGCAGAAAGAAAACTCCACGTGGATCCTCTTTTTCTGTTTTTTGGAAATGGAAGCCCAATTATTTTATGTGTTTCAAGGGAGGGGAGCGTCGCCTGCGTAGTGTTGTGTCCGGTTGGGTGCGAATCGTGGGCTGCATCTCTTGTTCTCATCGGAGCTTTCTCTGTGTCTTATAGGAGGTAACTTTCTGTTTGGTTATTTAATTTCAACTGAACCAACCCTAGGATCTCTCCAGCTCATAAATATCTTCCGATTTGTGTTCAATTTATTAGTTTCTCCTCTATATTGTTAATCTGTTAGAAACTCAATCATATTTGAAGGAATTATTGATGCATTTCACTTAAAGAACTATGGAATTATCAGGCACCAGGTTTAAAAATCTTACCTATAGAGGGTCACTATTTGTGGAAAAGGCAACTATGTAAAAAAGCTCATGTTTATGTTACTTACTCTTAGTCCTACAACTAAATTGGTTTAAAGAAAATGTTTCCTTGACCAATATGCTTTACCCTAATGGCATTCACACGGTGTACAGTGTTAAAAATAAAACCCAGCACAGAAACTAGAAGGTGAAGAAGAACTTTGTAATTTGAGGGTGTTGGACTGCCAAAGAATATGAAACTTTGGGATAATTCCAAATATGAAACTCATGTTAAAAATATTTACCATCAGGGAAAAGTAATCAATTGGAGTGGTTATTTTGCATAATATATAATGGCTTAAAGGAATAGAAAGAAGAACATTAGAGCAAAATCACTAATAGCATCAAGCAGCTAAATTTTGAAGAAGGATCACAAAAGAGCGGCTGTGATTTAATTTGAATTAGACAACTACAGGCCTTTTTAGTTTTAATCTTTTCAATCAAAGAGGGCCTTGCTGTTTACTACGTAGTTTGTAGATAAAACTTAAAATACAAAGTCAATAGATCCTAGAAATAGGATAAATATTAGGTTGGAAACTAAGCTGAAAAAAAGTATATATAAAATATAAAACTTCCCAGAGAGCGTACACTTGCATGAATTTTGACATACCTAGTTGCCCCAACCCTCAAGAACAGGGAAAGCCTTTGCCACTGGAACTCCTTCCTTCAATCTAGAAGCACCTTAACAGGAGGAAAATGAGTTTAGGAAAAGCAATGAATAATGTCTAGGATATATTACGAAGTAACTATATTTAGTACACAATTGTAATGGTCATTAGAATGACAAAGAGGCTACTTAGAAGTTCACTTAATTGCATATGCAAATCTATGATGATTGATTCAACGAGACATAAAAAGACATCATGTTTCTAAAAATATCATTCCAGAATTATCATTCTGAAACATCTTGTTCCTGAATACGTAACATTCTTCTTCAAAACAAATGCAACAATTTTCGTTCCCTGGAAATTTTAGGCATCTTATTTGCTCTGGAATTGATGGAGGCCAAATTTTTTCGCTTTCTCAAGATTGTGGGTGTTGGATACAAAGCCAGAGCTGAAGCTGCAGGACGTCTATTGTATCTCAAATTGGGGTACAGCCATGAGGTGGAATTAGCTGTCCCTCCTGCTGTCCGAGTTTTCTGCTTCAAAAACAATGTAATTTGCTGTACAGGGATTGACAAACAAAGAGTGCACCAGTTTGCAGCCACTGTTCGGACCTGTAAGCCTCCTGAAGTTTACAAAGGCAAGGGCATAATGTATGTTGATGAAGTTATCAAGAAAAAACAAGGAAAGAAGTCTAAATAGTCATATAATCTTAGGTGATTTTGTGAAGTCTACACCGAGATGTACATTGGTGGCTACACTCTGTCTGCACAAATCACAATGATTAACTCTAGCCTTCAAACAATTTTAGTGTTGGAACCCTTGAACATAGCATTATGATAATCATTTATTTGCTTTGAAATAACAATAATTTCTTGCTTCAGTATGATCGATATGTACCTTTAGAGTTTATTTTGCTTTGCTGAGATATTTTGTCGAAGAATATAATATTATATTGAAAGGCTTTCCTTCTGAAGGTTAAAAATGATTATAGGATGGCTTGTCTTAAATTTAACCTCACTTCTTTCCCATGTTCCTCTCCACAAAGTTTTACCCATGATTTATAACAAACTAACTAACTTAAATTTTATTTTAGCTCTGTGAGCATTGTAACTGCTTATTTTGATGTTAACAACGTGGTTACATTGCCTACATTATGCTTCAGACTTTTAATGTAAAGAAGCTTGTTGTGCTGGACGACACTTGTTTAGTAATGTGTTGGGTTTTCTTAGTTTAGATGGTGTCTTTTTGAGTGATCCAGAAGTTACTAAAGAATCTTTCTCGTGGATGTGAGTTCCTGAAGCACAAAAATAATACTGCAATAATAAAAAATTTGACAGACAGCTACATTAAATAGCGTAGAATACTTCTCAATGTTTCAGAAGCAAGAGCTTTGAAGGTGGTTCTTAGTTTTCTCTTAGTTGTTATTTATCTATCCTCTGATATGGTTCTATTTCTTTATTAAGATTCCTCATCTCAATGATTTGCCTCAGCGTTGAAGATTGTGTATAAGTACTGAGTAGTGGGAATATAGAAGTAGAAGAAGATCTAAACCAAACGTAGTTGAGGAATCCATAATCAAAAGGGAATAATTTCTTCCTTAGAAGAACAATTTCTTGCTATTGGTTTTTCTTTTGCGTGCTACACACAACTAACCGCCAAAAGCAATTCTTCGTGTCAATAATTGGGCATTCTAAATGAATCATTGCAATGATTAGCTCGACATTAAGAATTAGTCAAAATAATTTCTTGTCTTTTTACCTAAACCATTTCAATTTTTTCATGTTCAGCTTCACTTAACACGTCCAACCCCAATTTTGATTTGTTAACTATGAAGATATCGGTGGTATTTTAATTTATTGCAGTAATTAAGTTTTTATAAAACAATTATGTTTTAAAAATTTAAGCTCTAGAATGATTCCTCCCTCTTATACCCAATTCATTTTAATCAGATTGAACTGATGAAATATATAATAAAAAAAAAGTTATGAACCTAATCCAAATTGAATAAAAAAATATTGATTTAAATGAAAATTTAACTGAACTCAACTCAACTTTATTCACCACCCAAAAAAAAGTGATTAAATGAAAATTCTAAAATGGATAAACAAGGTTGAATTTAATAGTTATTACATTTTTTTTTAAAAAAAAACTTCTAATAATGTAGATAATACGAAGGGGAATGTATCATTTTCATATTATATCTAAAATAACAAGTTACCAGTACATTTACGAATATTTTAAATTTGCTTAAATACAATAAATTAAAAGAAAAAAAAAACTCAAGTTAAAGGAAAGTATGTGTAAAATATATATGTATAATTCAAAATAAAGACATTAAAAATAGTGTACGTAATTATTTAGCAAGAGAATAGATTAAAAAAGATTAAATTACTATTGAAATAGTCTAATTTAATATATAAAACAAAAACTTATTCCATCAAAGAGTAAAAGCAGTTCTCTGATCAATATATGAGGGTTATGTTTTGCCATTTCTGTTTTCTTGAGACCATCCAGAACGTTGATGTCATAACATGCTGCAGCATTTTGGTATCATGTTCGCAAGATACAACCTCGAATATTCTAAGCTCGTGTACTTAGTGACATGTAACATCTGCTTGGGAAATCTTAAACTTGGATATTGTATTTTTATGACATATTCATTTTGGGTTTTGAAGTACTTTTATAAAATGTATTAAGAACTCTTCCAACTTGATCTTAAAAATTTCCAAGTTGAAAGGTTATTGAAATTTTCAAGTGGATTAAGATGAGTCATATCGGGATGCATGATAGAATTTAATGGTGAACTAGGGCAACAAGTTATCCATTAATTTGAAGAATGATGTCAAGAAAATAATGAGAAAATCTGTTTGAAAAATAAGTATGAAATGGTACAAGTTGTTGTGAATTATAATCTCTTTTAAATCCATAGGTGTTATTTTTCACTTCACTACATGATCAACTTGTTTCTCATATCACACCTTTCACTTTAAGGTAAGGTGTGCATGATGTCAACATCATCATAGTTTTGACAATAATAAGAATGCCAATAATAATACAAGGTTCGTGTTTAGAAACATATAAAAAAGAAGGTTCATTGATTATAGAAAAATGTTGCATGTTAGTTAAAACTGAGAAGCAATTTAGGTTTAGTTGAGTAGAATTTGCATGAATGAATGATTCACTCACTACAGTTATTTGGGTTTTGAGTAAAGCAAGTACTCTCTACTCATGAAAACGCCACAACATCTTTCAGTCACATCCTTTTCATCCAACAATAAATTGATTTCTATGGATTAATCTAGACATGCATTTCTTTTTATATCTCATGAATTTGAGTAGGTTATGGTCGTTATTCGTATAGTATACCACGATTGATGTGAGGTTTGTTTATAAATTCACCAGGGCAAAATGTTAGTTTGAAAATATTTCATATAGTTATGTTGAGGAAAGCTAATCATAAGTTTTTAAATTATTATTAGAATTCATTTTAATACGTTTTTCGAATAAATATTATATCATAGACAAAAAAAATTGTAAGAATAAACTTGTTAAATAAAATAAAATTTTTGTTTCACACATTCTTAATATTACGTCAAAGTCATTTATGTACTCAAACTGTACTTACATTAAATATAAAATAAATTTATAATATACAAAAAAATATAAATTTTTTCTGATTTTATAAAATTGAGTTAAATTTAAAATTTATTTCTTATTAATTTTATTTTTATTTTTTAAAATAAAAGATTCATATCTAATTTTCCAATAAACATTTATTTTTTTTTAAATTAAGAATAAAAAAATTGTTTTGATTAAAAGGTTATTGTAAATTCAAAGCTAATCCAAATTTTGTTCACGCATGTTTATATAAAGAAACTATGGTTTTATGAAGTCTTGAAAACATATATCTGAATCTTATTTTTAAATGTATACATTAATGGAAGCTTCCATGACATAATATTGAAAGATACATGAGAAAAATCATGCTATAAACTCACTCTCAGAAAATAACTTGAAGATGAAAGGACAATTACAAAGTGATGTCTACCTTAATTGTACTTTTTTTTAGCTTGAGAGGGACACATTTCAGTGAAATCTTTTGAAGGAAATACACTTTTGGTTGTTGTCTGTTTTAGTAGTTATTGGCTCACATCAATATCTTTCATGCTTAAAAAAAATTAAATAATATCAATTGAAAATATAATTTATGCCTGTATGGACCAAAAATATTCTTAGTGACAACTATACAAGAATTAATTGCAATTAATTTTAGATTGAAATAAATCATATGATAAAATCACGTGAGGTCAATATCACCAATTGTATATCAGATGAAATTTAAAATTTTTAGCATTTTCAACCATTAAATTAGTCTCATAAATTTTTTAAATTTGAAACTTTTAAAAATAAATAATTTAAATAATACATTTTTTTAAGTTTTATAAAATATTTTTTTGAAGTCTCGTCTGAATACTAAGTGAAATCCTGCTTTTCAAAATATAAATTCATTCTTAAAATTAAAAAAAAAGAAGTTGTTTCCAAGTACAATTTCTAAATGAATTTATGAAAGTATAACATGTGACTTCAACCTTAAAAAAGGAAAAAGAAAAAGAAATCATATTTAGAAAAATAAGTTGTAGTTGTTGAAGTTATCCCTCTAACATGTGATTAGGCCAATTAAAGGCCTATATACTATACTTTAATCATATTTTTATTGTATTTAAGAAATCTTGTAATCAAAATTGATGATTATTAAATTAAGTCCATCATTCTTTTTCATCTAAATTATGTGTGAAATAAAATATTTACTAATCAATGCACATGGAATAAGTCGAGTTAACTAGTTTTTTTTTAATATATGTTTAAAATGAACGAATGTGATTAACAGGAACGCACATCAATCACACAATTTAAAAATATAATTTAACTATTGTATTAGAGTTAACACGAATTTACACTTTTAATATTTTATTCAATGGATGAGAGTTTTTAATTTATTATTAAAAAATAAATCATATTTAATCAAAATTAAGTTAATTGGTTTTTAATTTAATTTTAAAATATTTTCAAAAATACTTTTGTATATATTAAGCTAAAGAAATAAAAATATTCAGCTCTCAAATTTTCAACCAATACAATAATTATTATAAATCACTCCTCGCTATTAGAATTATTATTGTTTTCATTATTTTTAAAAGATTTGTATTATTATCATTATCATTGTTATTATTATTATTTCATATTGTTATTATTATTTTATTATAAAAAAAAACTATCCTCGTTTTCTACTATAATTTTAGCATTATTATTATTATTATTATTAAAATTTTACTTTAATAGGTGAATAAATTATATTAGACGTAAAATTTAATTAAAAAAACAAGTTAAACAGGTAATAAAGTTAAGCTTAACATTACATATATTAAAACCTGTTGATTATTTCGTTTTTTTTATCTTCAAGTCATGTCAAGGTTACTGGAGTGAATAATTGTATCGTATTTTAAATAATTAATAATGACTCCATCATGATGAGTTTAAATGCTTTTCTAATGATAAAAAGAAATATATGCCTTCGTTCATAATAATAGATTCAGAACAAATAGTTATAAACTCAAGAACATGCGTGGTAACAAAATTTCTTCAAACTTTCTCAAAATAGAGTCAGATTTATAGTTCACAATTATAAATTTCTTCAATTTTTACGTGATATGCATCTTCATTAAACATAATATTTAATTATGTATATCATGTAAAATTTAATAAGAGTTATATCTAATAATTTCTATATAGGAAGACACTTAAAAAAATCATGTCCTTACCAATCGGTAGAATGATAAACTTATTCATTTAATTATTAACTACACTGATGAACTACATATGTGAAAATTTCATTTTTTTTTAAATCGCTTAATTAACACAATGAGAACAATACAAGTTTAGTCTGTTATAAAACAACTTTTAACTTTCTAGAATATGTTTGGTACAAAAAGAAAATAAAAAATGGAAAAAATAAAAGGTATATGTCATATTCTTTTTGATCGAAGAAAAAAAGAGGGTTAACTTTTAAAATTATTTTGTTCTTTATTATCACATAAACCCTTATGATCGATAATAAGATTTGCGTCAATCTATCTGCACGCAGGCTAAAGCAAAGCAAATGCGAGGAAGTTGTGTTGAACATGTCTAGAAAGATGCTTTTTTTCCTGTCTCCTCTTTTTTATTCAACAAGAATATTTTACACTTGAAGATTATTTTCATTGGAAAAATTAAAAAGTTTTAGGATAATTAATTTAAAATCGTATCATAATAATTTATAATTACTTGAAAGTATAAAAAAGTTTACAGTTGTCAAAGATATAAGATAGAAAAATTAGAGAGAAAAAAATGACAGTGAGTTAACTGAACTGAGGTCACATCAAACATGTGTTTCGGCCTATGTAGTATAAAAGTTTGAGCGACAGAATTTTGGAAAGTACGGGAAAAAGAGGGGTGAGATATATAGTTGCAGTTACAGTACAGTTAGAGTTGGTGTTGTTTTTTGATGATGTTGTTTTACCAGAATTGAGGCAGAAAAGAGAAGAAGAGAGAGTGGGAAACACAAGAAGTCCATGGAATGTGTGGTGATGCAGGCATGACAGAATGCAAAAAGCATCAGAAGAGACTGATATAAATAAAAAGTTGAGTGAAGGGAGCACCGCAGATTCCGTGGTTCCAGGCTTGCACTCCAATCATCTCGTGCACAAATCCTTCTTCCAAAGTAATACCTTATTATTATTTTTTTCTTTCACTTTTTCACTCTCTCCCAAATCTATTCGTCTCTCCAACAAAACTGAAGCAAGGATATCAGAACTTGGATTCATTCTGTGATGTTTCGTTTGTTCAGAATTGAGAGAGAACGGTGCAAGTTACAAGATAGTAAAGGTTTGTGTGGTTTAGATCTCGAAAGCTGGATTATAAATAGTATAGTGTTAATTAAAAACATTTTAAAAAAATGATTAAAACTAAAAAAGGGGATGTTTGATGAGAATTAGAGACGATGTTATGAAAGCAGTGTGATGAGATAAGATAAGATAAGATTGGTAAATGGTAAATAGTAAATAGTGAGAGTAGGGAGTCAATGAAATTTAAGAATGAAAGAATGAATAAAGAGAGGTGATAAAGAGGATGCTAATATTGTGCCACCAAGGTTTGGTTGGGGTAGTTTTTGATTTCGTGAAGTGCGTTGGCAAAGTGTAAGAAAGAGAACCAGTGTTTTCCCTCGTCTTCCAATCTCTTCACCCTTCACCACACTCTCCAAATTTGGTCACTTTCTGTTAAATTACATTATCTTTGGTCTATCCTTTTCTTGAGTGCTATATTCTCTCTTTTTCTTTTCTAAATTTTCCTATATTTACTATCCTATAAATAAACAGTTCCAAAACTTGGGTTGCAGGGCTGATTCACAGTTACTGTTGTATTGGGTGGCTTTTGACTCCCCCGACTTATTATATCCTTCACTCCTAATCTATATTTAAGAACCAACCTCCACTCTTCTTTCTCTGCTTCCTTACAACCCTCCAACCCTCTCTTTCTCTTTCTCTCTCTCTCTATTTGTTTTTTAAGGTTAGGCTTAGCCCTCTCTTCGGTTGTGTCAGGAAGAAACATGGAAGCACCAGAGGAACTCTCTCTGGGGGGGTCCAAAGATCACGCCAACATTGTCAAGGGGAAAAGAACCAAAAGGGTCAGACCACAATCCCCTATCCCCTTCTCTGTCACCGCCAATTCCTCCACCGGAGAAGGAGAAAGAGAAGATTGCTGCAATGTTGATGACAACACCAACAACAAAAATTATGATATTAATAATAACAACATCATCGTCAACAACATCAACAACAACAACTCTCCCACCACTTCCTCTGCAGGATTACAAGACAGCACGGATGAAGAGGAGGACATGGCCAATTGCCTCATCCTTCTGGCACAAGGACAATCTCGGGAATCTCCAAAACATGTCGAGGAAGATGTGGGAATGAACTACGCCAAGTACAGCAGTAGGAAATTCTTGGAGGCGGCCACCTTGGGGTCTAGCAGGGCAGGGTACTATGTTTATGAATGCAAGACGTGTAACAGAACTTTCCCTTCTTTTCAAGCACTCGGAGGCCACAGGGCCAGTCACAAGAAGCTTAAGGCAGTCGTGCCCATTCCCCAAGAGAAGAAGCACCAACACCTTTTGTCATCGGATGAGGACGACTTTCAATTGAAGCCCAACAATAAATCACCGTTTTCCCTTCAACTCGGTACAAAGGCCAGTTTGTACAACAAATCCAAGGTGCACGAGTGCTCCATCTGTGGTGCTGAATTCACATCGGGGCAAGCACTGGGAGGCCACATGAGACGCCACCGCGCACCGGTTGGGATCCCCACCACACTCTCCTTCACCCCATTGACTCTGGAACCGGAAGAAGATCACCCCAGAAAGAAAAGGAATGTCTTGAACTTGGAATTGGATCTCAATCTTCCCGCCCCAGAAGATGATCAAAGAGAATCCAAGTTTTCCTTTGCATCCAAGCAACAACAACAACAACAACATGGACAGAAACAACAGCAGCAGCAGCAACAACAGCAACAACCACAAACAAGTCTTGTCTTAACTGCCCCAGCTTTGGTGGATTGTCATTACTGACAAGGTTTAGATTGACATCTGACATCGAAACTGTGGCAATGTGAAATTTTCGCGATACATGTGTTGTCTGTGATCTGGTTTTTCTTTTTGGTTAAATTTTTTGATCCATACATTTATCAAAAATTACATTACATGATTCTTTTGATTCATTGTGGAGTTGATGGAAGAAGCATGGTGATTGTGGGTGAGGTGAGTTGTTTATTGGAGAAAGTTTTAATTTGTTCTCTGAAAAGACATCTCCAAGTCATGGATGGCGCATGTGGGTAGAGTTCTTTTTGATTGGCGTTTGGCAGAGAATGTGATGTGTTATGACTGCAGAGAGAGGGTGTTGGTAGTGTCCAAAAAGTCTCTGCTTAAGTTTGATTGTCTCCTCCACAATAAAACATCTCCTCCTCCATGTCTTTCTGTGTCTGTCCCCTCACATTGGCCATGGAAATAGAATAAAAGTAGGGAAAGCCAGTAAGTAACTCTTATTCCCACATGAATCCTCAACTTGTCCTTTTTCTCCTTTACCCATATCTCTCCTTCTAAATCATTATTCTTCTTCTTTTCTCTCTGCCTCTTAATTGCCTACTCATTACACCTAAGCAACCCATCAAACCATTCACAACCCACCAAATCTTCAACTTTCCCTTAGATACAGCTAATGCTAACAACTACGCAAATCACACATTGCTAAACTCTCCCACATTTTCATTTTCATTGCTTTCTTTTCTTTTTCTTCAAGTAAAAAGAAGCGTTCAAGAAAACTGATTACTCCCCAACTGTAGATTTACACTCTACCCATTATTATTATTATCATTATTATTATTATAATTATGAAGTCCACTGTATATGTAAATTAATTTATATGCAATCATTTTATAACAAAGTTCCTTTTCTGTGCCTTTCTTTTCTGTTTCTTCTCATTCTTTCTTTAACAAGTCAAACGCAGCATGACATCACGTCAATACAAGTTGAGGATTAAGTTATAATTAATCGGAATTACTTTATGATTAATAAATATGCTAAAAATGAAGAATGAGGGCGATGCAGATAAATGGTGATTAATATTTGGTGTTCAATTTTTGTTAAATGGTGATTAATATTTGGATAATTTCTTCAAAGAAAAAAAAATGATTGGTAAAAGACATATGGAACTAGATTTCGGTTTTTCTAAACAGAATCAGCTCTTAATATAAAGAAAACACCGAGTGCCTCTTTTTTTTTTTTCGAAATAATAAAATGAATTTAAAACATTAAAGTCACTATAAAGTTGGATAGGGATGAAGTTCAACTCTAATTTTTTGTGACAGATTTAATTGGTGTCATGGGTCCTCCTGATAAATCAAGCTCATCTACCTAAAATACTCAAGACATTATTTAAACGATGTCGTTTAACTGATCCCTAAACGACCCCGCCCAAATAATTTCGTTAAGAAGGATTTTTCTTCTGTACCTCCATAATTTCTAGCGGCATCCATGATTTTTAAGATGATTATTTTATCCTTTGTAAAAGTAGTTTTTTTGGATTTTTATTTTGGAAACCTTTCGGGATAAATTCTTTATACATAAATTTTAGAACACATCTTTCATTAAGATAATTTCTTTTAGAATTAGCTTTTAATAGAATGAATTCTTTCTATTTGTTTTCTTCTTTTTGTCAAAGGTTGCAGTGGAGAATGGAGACAGCAACAACGGTGGTAGCAGTGACGTGGTGCATTAAGAGAATATTTTAATTTATTTATTAGTGTGAGGTGCAGTTAGTAATAATGGGAATGCCAGAAGAAAAAGTCCATGCTAAAAACTCTTCGAAGGTGTTTTCTGGTTAAAAAAACAAAAAGTAAGACAGGAATATAAATAGAGAATTTTAAAATATTAAAAATAAACCTAAATGATATTCGTATTATAATTCCTATTGAATCACTATACTATTTTCATTTACATGATGAAAACATTTTAAAATAAAATTAATAGAAAACCCTTTGTGTGAAAGCTTGCTTGTTGAGGTGGTGAAAGCTTTGTGTTTAAGCACCCTCTGCCTGTAGATTATACCTACATTTGTACTAGACAAAAAAAGTATACTCAAAACTATTTGTGGAGGGAAACTGTAGACTATACGTAGAGTATACACAATACATCACTCTTCAATATGCTTTGCCTCAACCCCACACTTCCCCTACCATACTTCTTTTATCTGTTACTTCTTAGTTTGCGTGTGAATTTATACTTCAAATCCAGTTTTTCTGTGTTAAGTATCTGTCTATTACTCATCTTTTACAAAAGCCAATTTTAGAGTTTCACTTTCATTTCAGTAAGCATCTTTTGCAAAAGCCAAATTTGGTTACTTACTCAGATTATGGCAAGAGTTGGTGAAATATAGTATCAGATGTATTAGTGAGAAGGAACAGTTGCATCAGCAATTGCTTAAAACCACATTTCTACGTATGATTGTACATTTTAATGAGTTTATAGTTGAGTTTAGTGTAAGTTCACATTAAGAGAATCTATGAAAGAAAATGGAAACATCATGATTGATCATAGAATTAACAAAAATGGAGCAGATAAAGCATAGAGTTGAGAAAAGCGTTTGATCTTAAATATAGAAGTCAAGACACCCTTGCATGTTCAACCTAAAGCACGCACAATTTTCCATCGTTCTATACAATCCTAAACATCCACCACGCGTGGCAAAAGAATGAAACTACAATCTTAACCCCTATAAATTGAAAATCTAACATAGACTACACAGTAGCAAGTAACCTTTAATTCTTCACCAGCTAATTAAAAGAAATGCAGTAGACATTTTATCCTTATGCTGTTCTGCATATCTCCAATCTTCTCAGAAAAGGGTGGACTGTCTCAATTAATGGAGACCAATATAGAAAAACATAGCGCAGCGGTGATCATAGAAATCAGAGACCTATTATTATTCATATTACAAAGAAAACACAAAAGAACACATTAGTTCATAAGCAAACAGCAACAAGCACAAAGCCTTATCTCATTACTGAGATTGGTATGTTAGTCTATAAGCATCTCACATAAATGATGTAACAACACGGGGCCAATACCTTGTTTTGTGTGGATTGTATGCGTTGGATGATGGAGCACTTGATGGTGGGGACACTGAGGGAGCAGGGGTTGGAGCAGGAGATAGATACTTGCCTGTCAACATTAAGAAGTATCAATACCATAATATCACACCTTTTCAAAATCATCATTCAAAAAATAAAGTTTGTAAAGAAGGTTAAAGAACAGTAGAAAATACTTATGAAGATGCACTAACCACAAAGAAGGAGATTTGGTGGAGGAGGCTTCTCTTTGGCAGGGTTGGGATCAGCATCATAAACCCTCACATAGAGCTCTTCACCCAAATACCAGCTTTGCAAGTTCTGTGATCTCAGATTCCACATTCCTGGGTTGTCAGGGTACACATACACTGCACTCCACCCTCCAGGGTACACTTGCACACTCGATCGACCAACAGGATCATACAGATTATAAGTTAGCCGTGATTCTCGACTCCATTCTCCTTCTCCCATTCTGAAACCAAATATTTCTTATTTATCACATCCAAATTTTAATGCTGAAGCTGCTCTCACTATAAACTTAGCTTCTAATAACATGTCAAATGTTGCAATGGATATACTTTTCTACAAGGAACCTGATTTTCTAGTAAAATCCTTCAAATGAAGCAGATTACTTACCCGACCACAAAGAAACTATATCCATCTAAATGCCAAGTATCAATCGTGTCTAAACTGTTTTTCAGCACTATCTCCGTCCACCCTTTGTGCAATGCACTGGCAAC